CGGCCAAGTTAAATATAAAATTCATATAAATTATAATTGGAATGTATAATGTAGAGATTCGATTCCTGTTTTTATTATTTAATACTAGCTACCCGCCCCGGCTTCGCACGGGTGCAATATGCATGCATATAAACTTTCCTTAAGAATCAATCTATCTAGAGGTATTAAAAAAACTGCATCAAAATCCGTTTTTAGTTTTAAAGATCTAAGCATACATAGGGACAGACAGACGGCGGATAGCGACTTTGTTTTATACTATGTAGTAATCTGAATGAATAAAATAGTAGATTTGACAAATACACTGCCAACGATGTTGCCACAGATTACCATAAATCTACTTAGCAATTACTTTGATAAATATCATAGAATATTGTAAAAATCTTATTTTGAGGGCTAAAATTCTTTACTTGACTTAGGAATCGAACTCTTGATATAGTCTTAATCACTGAGACAGTCAAACAGTCCTTAAATTGTAAAAAAATATGAAATTTTTTAACATTTGTATAAATAAAAAAATATCTTATTTTTGAGCTCTACACATCACATTATAGTTTATAATACAAGTCAATATAAATATATAATATTTTTCAAAAAAATAACATAACGTCTATATTCTTTTTCGAAAATAATCAGTTATATATCCTATGAGATTCACAAAAAAAATATATTTACAAAAAAAATGTCAAAAAAAGTAAAACGTATAAAAATTTTTAAAGCTTAAAATTGTAAATATCGTTGATATACAACTTATCACAATTATTTATTAAATATACATAATTATAATTAGGGGCAGATGGCAGATTAGAAGGGCAGGGCCTTAATATCCCTAAGGCAAACTAGACAAGTGCCTAGAGCCCCAGAGGGCGCCGCTAGACGCCAAATCATCCATAAATTACGTCACACGTTAAGGGGGACGGAGGGGTCCACGAAGTGTGACATTGTGTGACAAGGGGGACGGAGGGATCGTCAACTTCATGACGTCACATTTAAAAACTATTATAATCTGTGTCAAAACACGAATTTTAAAGTACTAGCTTCTGCCCGCGACTTCGTACGCGCAATCCCGTTTTCCCTCGTTCCCGTAGAATTATCGGGATTTTTTCTGTCTTAGGGACCTTCTCCTAATAATAACAAATACAACAAAAAATAATTAATGAAATAGCTCCAGCCATTCACGCGGGATGCCGTGGCCAATAGAAAAAGGGATTAATTTTCATATATACTATATATTAATTTACGAAAACCTCAAAAAATAGGTCATTGTTTAGTCGACTACTCACTCTAGTTGTTTGATATGATGTTAATATTATTAAAAAATTATTTTGGCACCGCTATTTTGCTAAAATAATTTCTATATGTAAATTTACAAAGTGTAACATTACACTAGAAAGTGGAGTCTCACAATTGTGACCAGGTCTGACGGGCGGAGAGGGGAAGGGGGGAAGGGACCGACAGCCAAGGACGGGAAAGGGGGAGAAAAATCATGAAAATTGTGTAACGTAATTTATGGGTGACCCCCAACTGCCCATAGACGCCGTGGTACCAAAAACAATTAGGGGCGCCTATAAGGTGTTAGGTTAGGGCGCTCTCTATGTTTAATTCACCTTGGTGTACATATAATATGTTACGCCAACTTTATCACCAGATATTTTTTTTTCTGAAATAAGTCAGTAAACGAGCAGACGGATCACCTGATGGTAATCAATCGGCATCGCCCATGGACATAAGAAACACCAAAAGCGTTACAAGTGCGTTACCGGCGTTTCAGGGATTAGAAATTCGAGGATTGTTGGGTATTCAGGGATTAAGGAGATTGGGGAGGGATATTTTTTTATTATTTTTTTTATATTTGATGGGATTTGATCACTATCTCGCCTGGTGGTAAGCGATGATGCGGTCTACGATGGAGCACGTCGACCGGCTATTACTTTAAGCCTCCGATAACCTCACTCACACGACGAAACACAACGACTAGTTATGAGTCCCATGTAATAGGGGGTGAATATGTCATAAAAATCGAGCAAGATTAATCCATAGATACTGGATTGCAATCGGTTTTTTATTTTGTC